GTGTCTTGAATAAATAAGATAATAATGAAATACATGTATCACGAAGTTTGGGAATAAAGTGACGGTGGCACCAAAATTTTTCAAACAGTTGAGATATGGGAAAAAGACTGGAAATAAATTATTTGCATCGATATGTCCTGATGACAATTTTAAAGAAAATAAAAAAAGTGTTAACATAAATTGAAGAATTATTTCCTATGTTGTGATTGAGAGGTTATGTTGAGGGAGGGGGGCGATGACAACTTTCTCATTGGCTCAAGGGGGCGATTCGTTCAAAAAGGTTAAGAACCACTGCCCTATACCATTTCGGACAAATGGCTGTCCAGTCTCTTCTTAAAAACTTCCCGTGTTGGAGCATTCACCGCCTCTGGAGGCAGGTTATTCCACTGGTTAATTGTATAGCCTGCCCTATGGTCCAGCATAGCATGCACCCCCAACTAAGTCCACAGCCTCAGTAGGCCACATCTGGAATGCCGCATATAGTTTTGGTCACTGCATTACAAAAAAGATGTGGAGACTCTGGAAAAAGGGCAAAGAAGAGCAACTAAGAGGATGAAAGGCCTGGAAAGTCAAAAAAAATATGAAGAACGGCTGCAGGATTTGGGTTTGGCTACTCTAGAGAAATGAAAGACTGGGGGAGACATGATAGCAGCGTTCTGGTATTTGAGAGGCTGCCATAAAGAAAGGGGGGGGGTGAGTATCAACTTATTCTCCAAAGCACCGGAAGGTAGGACAAGAAACAACGGATGGAAACTAATCAAGGGGAGAAGCAACCTGGAATTAAGGAGAAACTTATTAACAGTGAGAACAATTAACCAGTGGAACAGCTTGCCACCAGACGTTGTGGGTGCTTCATCACTAGAGATTTTTAAGACAAGACTGGATAACCACCTGTCTGAGATGGTATAGGGTCTCCTGCCTGAGCAGGGGGTTGTACTAGAAGACCTCCAAGGTCCCTTCCAGCTCTAGTCTGATTGAATACCCCTGCAAACAGGCCGTGCACAAAAATGCCATAATAGCCTGTTACAAACGTTTTAGAAAGTGCTACCCAGAAACAGCACTTAACCTTATCAAAGCCAAGGCCATCTGGCCCAGATCCCAAACAGATTCTAATCCATTAGCTGGAAGCTCCAGACTGCATTTTTCAACTGGCTGCCAGTCTAAAACACGGAAGCCATTCAAATCTTGCTTTCTTGGAATATAGAAGATGACGCTGTGTCTAAAAACCAAGTCCTGCTTGCCGCTGGAAGCAGAATAGAATAGAATAGAATAGAATAGAATAGAATAGAATAGAATAGAATAGAATAGAATAGAATAGAATAGAATAGAATAGAATTAGAATAGAATAATAGAATAGAATTAGAATTAGAATAGAACAGAATAGAATAAAATAGAAGAATAGAATAGAATAGAATAGAATTAGAATAGAATAGAATAGAATTAGAATTAGAATTAGAATTAGAATAGAATAGAATAGACCTGAAAAGTCCTAACTTCATCTCAGTTAAAAAAAAATAAACTGGCAAAATGCAAGAGAGCCAGGGAAGGCTTTTTGATACCAGGAATAACATCCACAATGTAAAAAAAAAAAAAAAAAGTTTTTCATTCATCCGAGTAGAAAGATCTCATGGCTAAATTCCATTTGTTCTAAGACAAAGGTGATTTCACTTGAAGCAGCTCATGGAAAACGCAACACGTTGCTCCCAATAACACTCAACACCAATGAGTATTTCCAGTTCAGGCAGCCGGTAGACACCGACTTGGCCACAGGCAGGCGGGCATCTGATCTGCCCTAAGCAGCAACAGGGAAACTCAATCCTTAGGAAGGAGAATGGGTCAATGTTTCTCTCTCAGCCCAGCCCCATCTGCCCCATGGAACTCCCTCCCCCTCCCCAGGGTCTGGCAGGACTCCCACCCTTTTCACCTTCCAGGGAATCCCGAAGCCCCGGTTCTTCCCCCAAGCATTGGGATAGAGGAGCTGAGAACAGGGGGAGAACGTGGGGGTGGCATCAGAAAAGGGCGATGATGGTGCCGCCAGGTTTTTCTGGGTATTTATTTACCCACCTATCATCCTTTGCACCTGAAGGATGCAGCTTTTTTTTAAAGAAGAGACTGGACAGCCGTTAGTCTGAAGTAGTATAAGATTTCCTGCCTGAGAAGGGGGTTGGACTAGATGACCTTCAAGGTCCCTTCCAGCTCTATTATTATTATGTTGCGGGTGCTCCATCACTGGAGGCTTTTAAGAAGAGACTGGACAGTCACTTGTCCGGAATAGTAGGTTTTCCTGTCTGAGCAGGGGGTTGGACTAGATGACATCCAAGGTCCCTTCCAACATCATCATCATCATCATCATTCTTATTCTTATTATTATTATTATGGATCATCGCACAGTCAGCCAGATGTTCAGACTGGATTTGGCGTTTTTGTTTACCTATCGAGTCCTTCCCAAGGACCTGGGATAGGCAGATGTGGATGTTTGATGGTATTACAGGCATCGTCGCAGGATGGAAGCTGTTCCTAGGAAGGCCGCCTTTTGCAATTGACTAATGGCGAAGTTGTCAATGCCGATGATGGTGTTCAAGTGGTGCTCCAGTTGTTTTGGGATTGCACCCAAGGCGCCTATGACCATTGCTGCCACCCTTGCTTGCCTTTGCCATAGTCTTTCTATTTCTATTTGTAGGTCTTTGTATTTTGTTATCTTCTCCAGTTCTTTCTCTTCTATTCTCCTGTCTCCAGGCACTGCCACGTCCACTATCCAGACTTTTTTGTCTTTCTTATCGACAATTGTTAAGTCTGGGGTGTTATGTTGCAAGTGCTTGTCTGTTTGAATTCTGAAGTCCCAGAGCAGTTTAATTTTATCATTTTCTATGACTTTCTCTATTTTATGATCCCACCAGTTCTTGCTTACAGGCAAATGATATTTTTATTTTTATCATTATTATTGTGGTATACATTGTTTTGTTTTTGGCTTACAAGCTACCCAGAGTTTGGGTTTTAAGATGGGCTGCTAGGCAAAGGGAATGAATGAATGAATGAATGAATGAATGCCAGCTGAGTGACTGAGCCAGTGCTTCACTCAGCCCACCTCACAGGATTGTTGTTGTGGGAAGAAGAAAAGGCAAGAGGATTAGGCGTATTCCCCATACAAAAAGGCTGGGGATAAAATTAGATATCAATATTATTTTACCACACATTTTTAGGCAGAGGAGATGCCAAATCCCGCCCCCCTGCCGGACTTCTCATTTCCCCACAACCACCCTACACGGTAGGCTCACAAAAAGGGGCCCCAGCCCACAAGCCTTCACTTCCATAGCAACAAGCAGCCTTGCCTAGCAACGGCAAGAGTCCCCCAACCAGTTTTTCATTAATTCGTTCAATTGTTCATCACACAGTCAGCCAAATGTTTGGACTGAATTTGGCATCTTTATCCATTTTTATTTTTATGAATGAATGAATGAATGAAAGCCAGCTGGCTGACTTTGCCCCAGTACGTCTCTCAGCCCAACCCACCTCACAGAGTTGTGTGTGTGTGTGTGTGTGTGTTTGTGTGTGCGTGCGTGTGTGTGTGAACAATATTATACCCCTCTGTCTTCTCATTTCCCCACAACAGCCCTACAAGATAGGCTCACACAGAAAGGCGATCAGCCTAGAGCAGGGGTAGACAACCTTGGCTCTTTTATGACTCGTGGACTTCAACTCCCAGAATTCCTCAGCCAGCATGGCTCAGCTTGGAAACCTCTCCCTTTCCCCTCAGCATGGCTGGCTCAGGAATTCTGGGAGTTGAAGTCCACCAGTCATAAAAGAGCCAAGGTTGCCTACCCATGGCCTAGAGTCACCCAACATCCTTTCATTGATTCATTCAATCATTATTATTGCTCATGGCACAGTCAGCCGAAGGTTTAGACCGGATTTGGCATTTTTATCCATTCTTATTTTTATGAATGAATGAAAGAAAGCCAGCTGGCTGGCTGATTGATTTTGGGCCAGCACTGTACTTCTCTCCACCCAGCCCACCTCACAGGGCTGTTGTTCTGGGGAAAACAGGAGGAGGAAGGAGTATTGAATATGATAGATAGATAGATAGATAGATAGATAGATAGATAGATAGATAAGTGATAAGAGATAGAGATAGATAAATGATAGATATATAGATGTAGATATGATAGATACGACAGAGATATAGATAGAATAGAGAGATATAGAGAGATGATAGATATAGAGCTAGAGCTAGATAGATATGATAGATATAATATAGATATGATAGATATAATATAGATATGATAGAGATAAAGGATAGAATAGAGAGATAGATATAGAGAGACAGACAGAGGGACAGAGATAGATATAATATAGATAGATATGATAAATATATAGGTGATAAGAAATATAGATAAATGATATAGACATGTAGATATTACATAGATATGATATATAGATAGAATAGATATGATAGATATATAGATAGATACGATAGATATGCTAGTTAGATAGTGCAGGATAGATAGGTAGATAGACAGACAGAGACAGATAGATAGATAGATGATATAGATAGATGTAAGATAGATAGATATAATATAGATAGATGATAGATAGATAGATGTAGATATAGATAGATGATAGATATAGATAGATGTAGATAGATAGATATAATATAGATAGATGTAGAAATAGATAGATAGATAAATGATAGATATAGATATAGATAGATGTAGATAAATAGATGATAGATAGATAGATAGATAGATAGATAGATAGATAGATAGATAGGTAGATAGATAGATGATAGACAGACAGACAGACAGACAGACAGACAAAGCGGGATATAAATGTTAAAAAATACAAAAGCAGTTCCGGGCCCAGGAAAGCCAGAGAAGGAATGGGGGGGGGGAGGAGGGAGAATCAAGGTAAGGACGAAGGGCGAAGCGCCGCGCCTTCTTAGCCGCCAAGACCTCCTCCGAGGCCCGCCAGGCGACGCCCCCCCCTCCCCGGCAACGGCTTACCTCGCGGACGGCTGCCCCTCCGGCCATGACCGCCGCCGCAGCAACAGCGACCGGCCCCGTCGCCGCCTCAGCCGCCTGCGGGATTGGCGAAGGAGGGGGGGGGGTCTCAAGCGGTGGGCCCGGCCTGGAAGGGAAGCCTGGGCTGCCGCGGTGCCCGATGGGGCGGGTAGTCCTCCCGTGCTGGGCCTGGGAGGGGCCGTCGGATGCGCCCCCCGGGGGAGACGGGCCTTCCCCGGCCTCGGATCCGGCGTGAGGCGGCGCGGTTGCCGCTGAGGCCGCCGCACACTTCCTTGGCAACGCGGCCGCCCGCCCACAAGCCCTCACTTCCGTAGCGACCAGCGGCCTTGCCTAGCAACGGGCGCCGCCCGGCCACGCCCCTGCGCTCTCCAGGGCGACGGGGAGGCGAGGCCAACATCCGGGCAACTTCCCACCTCCCGAAGGCCGCGTGAGGTGCGCCGGGCTCGCCTCAGAGGAGGCCGCGGTTCCCCTCTCAGTGGCCCGGACGTGGCTGGCACTGAGAAGCCGGGGCTCGGCGCGGCCTAGTTCCGATTGGACCCCGGCAGGCCTTTAAGAAGAGACGGGACAGCCACTTGTCGGAAATGGTGTAGGCCAGGGGGAGGCAACCTTGGCTCTTTTATGACTCGTGGACTTCAACTCCCAGAATTCCTGAACTGGCCGTGCTGACTCAGGAATTCTGGGAGTTGAAGTCCACGAGTCATAAAAGAGCCCAGGTTGCCTACCCCTGGCCTAACTGAATCCATTCCCCTTGCTCCTCTCATCCTCTTCTCTTTTCTTCCATTTTCCCCAACATTATGGACTCCTCAAATGATCCCGGTCTTTAGACTGATGGACTGATGGTCTTACTAAGGATTTGTAAAGTACCGCTTTACAATTAGAATCCTGCATCCGGTTCTGATCACCACAATAGAAAAAAGATGCTGAGACTCTAGAAAGAGTGCAGACAAGAGCGACAAAGATGATTAGGGGACTGGAGGCTAAAACATAACAAGGAACAGTTGCTGGAATTGGGTATGTCTAGTTTAATGAAGAGAAGGACGGGGGACAGGACAGCAGTCTTCCAGTATCTCAGGGGCTGCCCCAAAGAAGAGGGAGTCAAGCGCTTCTCCAAAGCGCCTGAAGGCAGGACAAGAAGCAACGGGTGGAAACTAACCAAGGAGAGAAGCACCTGGAACTAAGGAGAAACTTCCTGACAGTGAGAACAATTAACCAGTGGAACAACCTGCCTCCAGAAGCTGTGAATTCTCCAACACTGGACATTTTTAAGAAGAGACTGGACAGCCATTTGTCCGAAAGGGTATAGGGTTTCCTGCGTGAGCAGGGGGTTGGGCTAGATGACCTCCAAGGCCCTTTCCAGCTCCATTCTGATTCCTCACCTGCGTTGCCCCTTTTGGGGGCTGTTCCAGTGTTTGCAAAAAGATATTTACCTGAAAGGCTGAATTATTAGTATTAGTATAGAATATAGATCAGTGGTTCTCAACCTTTATAATGCCGCGACCCCATAATATAGTTGCCCATGTTGTGGTGACCCCCAGCCACTTATACATCACTGGGTGCCATTGGCGTGGCCAAAGAAAAGGGGAAAAAAATGGCGGACAGCCTTGTTTGGCGACCCCCATGAAATGGTCATTCGACCCCAAATGGGGTCCCGACCCACAGGTTGAGAACCACTGATATAGATAGTCCTCCTCAACTTACAACCATTTGTAATGCTGGCTGTGGAATTCTGGGAGTTGAAGTCCACGTGCCTTAAAATTGTCAAGGTTGAGAAACACTGTGTTAGGAGATGGCTGAATTTTGGCCAGCTTTCTTTTGCAAAATGGCCGGGGAAGTCTGCCCTTGGAATTGTACACAGGAAGATCTCCACTTAACAACAGTTCATTTAGTGACCCTTCAAACGTACAGCTGCCCTGAAAAAGTGACTTACAACCGTTTTTCATACTTATGACCATTGCAGCGTCCCCATGGTCACATGATTTACATTCAGACGCTTGGCAACTGACTCGTATTTATGACGGTTGCAGTGCCCTGGGTTCATGTGATTCCCTTTTACGACCATCTGACAAGCCAAGTCAATGGGGAAGCCTATTTTGCTTAACGACCGTGTTAACTTAATATCGGCCGGGATTCACTGAACTATGGCAATGGGGATAAAATGGGGTGAAACCGTGTGGGAACAATCCAGAGAAAGAAATATTTTTGGGAATATTAAAAAGGCAGAATATATTTCCCCAAAGGAATAATGGAGAAGATCTTTAAAAAGGCAAAAACTACTCCACAAACACCCCCTAACCCAGTGATGGCGAACCTTTGAGAGACCGAGTGCCCAAACTACAACCCAAAACCCACTTATGTATCGTCGGGTACCGGGTGGGCGTGGCCCATTGGGTGGGCAGGGCCCATTGGGTAGGCGTGGTTGCGGTGGTAACTGCCGACTGGATGGGACTAAAAAGTTCAATCAATCAATTCCAACTTTGCAAGATCTTTTTTTTTCCTCCGAGAAGTTGAAATTGACTGATTGATTGAACCAGTGTTTTTTTTTTTGCACACGGCGGCGGAGGCTTAAAGCAAAAAGGTTTTATAAAACCCAGCTGGGGCGACGGTGTGTGTGCCCACAGAGAGGGCTCTGAGTGCCGCCTCTGGCACCCGTGCCATGGGTTCGCCAACACTGCCCTAACCAGACAACTCAGCAGAAACCAGCTTTTAGAAATGCAGATGTAATAATCCATTCAAGAAGTTTGGAGCCCTCCAGCTAGAAGCTTAGGAAGACAAAGACCCTTAAAATCTACATACCCCACCCAAACTCTAAGACAGGACATAATAGGACCAACCCACAGATGCCAAAGGGGCACACTCAGACTCAGGTCAAAGTACATGACCCAGGAAATACAAAGCCTCAAACTGGAACAGGAAACAACTCCAAACAAAAGCCCAAGAAGGTATAAAAACCCATCACTCCCTATTACATGTGGTCACTCTTTTTTTCAGAGCCATCTTTCTGTCTGGCTCTTCAATAAATTACAACCTTCTTTCTAAAGCAGTCTCCATGTTGTTTATTCCCGGCTTGGATTGGACCCTGATGAAGATTTTTCTTTCAACAGTATCTATGATGGAGCTCACTTTGTCCCAGAGTAAGTTGTAACAGTTGCAATTAAAAAAAAAAGCAGAAAATGGACAATGTGATCCTTTCTGGAGGAAGATGAAAAGGGTCCAAAGGTCCATCTCCAGACATTAGCAGGAGATGTACTGTTCTTGTTCTCCCACCTAGCAATCAACTGTACCTACCTCCATTGAGATAGCTCCCACCCCTCTTCCTCAAGGCTTAATAAGGTGCCTCCCCAGCTAGATATCCTACAAAGCCCAAGCAGAAACCCAGACAGGTAATGGCTTAATTTTTTTCATTCAGGGCTCCAAAATCATCTCTCTGGATAATTCTGGAGGTGAGCTATGAGGGGTAATTCTACAGGTGAGGTGAACCATGAGAGGTAACTACAGATGAGGAGGTGAACTATGAGAAGTAACTACAGGTGAGGAAGTGAACTATGAGGGGTAACTACAGGTGAGGTGAACTATGAGAGGTAACTACAGATGAGGAAGTGAACTATGAGGGGTAACTACAGGTGAGGTGAACTATGAGAGGTAACTACAGGTGAGGAGATGAACTATGGGGTAACTACAGGTGAGGTGAGCTATGAAGAGCCTACAGGTGAGGTGAACTATGAGGTAACTCTACAGGTGAGATGAACTATGAAAGATAACTACAGGTGAGGAGATGAACTATGAGGGGTAACTACAGGTGAAGTAACCTATGTGGTAACTACAGGTGAGGTGAACTATGAGGGGTTACTAAGGTGAGGTGAGCTATGAAGAGACTACAGGTGTGAACTATGAGAGGTAACTACAGGTGAGGTGAACTATGAGGTAATTACAGGTGAGGTGAACTATGGGGTAACCAGGTGAGGTGAACTATGAGGGGTAAGTACAGGTGAGGTGAGCTATGAAGTAACTACAGGTGAGGTGAACTATGAGGTAACTACAGGTGAGGAGGTGAACTATGAGGGGTAACTCTACTAAGAGGCTCTCAAAAGTGGTCCTCTTTTAGTCTTGAAATTGGTCAAAAGAATCCATCTCATCCTGTTTAAGCACTGGATTATTTTTATTCTTTGCACTGTGGGTTGTGAGGAACTGGCAGATCTGGTTCAGACAGCGCGTAAGCCGTTCTAGAGGTTGAGCGTTTATTTAATCTTTTGACTGTAAAGACACAAGAATGCACACTGGTGGGTGAAAGGAACTCTTAACAGTGTGGTTAACGTATGAGTCCTGTTCGGTTCCAGTTAAATGAATGGGATTTCCAGCTAAATCCTGGTTCTCCTGGAACATTTGGTGGCCTCCAAAACCATCACCTTCCATATTTTTCTGGTTGGTGGAAATTGGCGACATTGTTTTATGGCGGTTCTCCTCTTTTCTCTGGTTTGGGGGTAGGAATAGATCTACATAATGTGAGATTACTCAGGATTCTACTTACTAGGTCTCGCCATCCCATGGAATGGAATGGAGTAGATTTTTTTGCTGGCGCAGTGTTCTTGGCCAAGGAAGCTCTTAGTGTACCTACGACAACAAAGCCATAGGTCATATATTATAGATCATAGTTACAATCATTTTTTTAGTGTTTTATTGATTTTCTAATTTGTACATTTAAATATTTAAAAAGCAACGTGGCGGCTGGGTTAATCGAAAATTCAATGACATACTAACATCTTTAGGGCAAGTCTCAAACTACCCCATTAAATATTTCCTCTCTTTTCTCCTTAGCATTTACTGTCTCATGTTTAAACTAATACAATTCTTATTATATCAGTTAAATAAAAATACGTTTATCAATACTTTTTAGCTTATACATATGCTGGTTATTTTAACGGTCTTTATAGACGATCAATGTCCTAATTAGTTTTTCCCAATGTTTACTTTCCCATTAATATTTAAATTTAACATTTAATATTCATAATTTCCAACTTTTAATTGACCAAACTTCCCTTTATCCCAATTCATCACAAAGTCAGAATTCACATCTTGTCTGTTTGAATATATTCTATTTCTCACCATCTTACATCACCTAATTAATAATATAGTGTAACATTCTTATTTTCTATTAAGTTTAGTTATTTTTAATAATCAAATCTGTAAAGCCACTCAGTTCACCAATCCAGGCAGTCCTCGACTTAACAAGTTCGCTTAGTGACTGTTCAAAGTTACAACGGAATTGAAAAAAGTGACTTAGGACCGTTTTCCATACTTACGACCAGTTGCAGCATCCTCATGGTCACCTGACTGAGGACAGCTGATTCACATTTACGACGGTTGCATTGTCC